AATGCGCGGTTTTAGTTATTTGTTTGCCTTTTTTTTAATATTATTTTTTTATATTTTTATTTTTTTTTTTGTTATTTTGATTTCCCCAGTTGCTGTAGATTGAAAGTTGATTTCCGCGTGTTGCGTGCCGCACAAATTGAAGTGAGTTTATGTGCCTAATTTTTGGGCATTTAACTTGATGCGGAATTACTTATTGTAGTTCTTTGGTTTATTTGATTTAACCTCTTCTCCTGCGCCTGCTTCTCGCAATTACAATTTGGGCAAACTATGCGCAAATTGTGTTAAAACACGCAGCAAGAAATATATTATTTTTTCCCTGCTTTTGGTAATTGTTTATGTTTTGCGTTTATATAATATTTTCCGATGTGCGATTGCGTGCCGTTTGTCGTTTGTCGTTTGGTTATGTTAATTTGACTGCTGTTTGCAGTTTTTATGCTGGGTTTTTGTTTATTAAATATGCATGACATGCAAATGGCGGTCGCATGCCAATTAACTTTGATCGATTCAACAAAATGGGCGACAAGATTTTTATGAGCAATTAATGTGGTTGCCACACTGCGGTTGCCGCAGCCAATCGCCATTAAATTGTTTGCAACTGGGCGATGCACTCAAGCCAAACCGATTCAGATCTTGGCTCAAACCAAACTAAAAATAAATTGAGAAATTTTCAATCAAATTAATTTTCTTCTCTCTCTTTTCTAATCAAATTAAATCAAATTTCTATGGCATATTTTAAATAATTAGTATTTTATTCTTCTGGTTCTATGTGCATTTTGTGGGATTATTTTTTCTGCAAATATTGTTTGGCAAAATATATGCATAAAAATTGTCTGAAATAAATGCGAAATGTGCAAATTTGTAGAGTTTTTGGTTGGCTGCCGGCCCGACAGACATCATATATATTGAACGCCCCGCTGCATGCGCCAAAAAGTTGCATAAATATTCGCATATGCAGCGCGCATTTCCCAAATGGAACAATTACGGCGCAATCAGAGCCACGGAATACCTACATAAACACAATTTATTTGCTCGACGCTCTGTGCACATTTCAAAGCTAATGGCAATGACACGACATTTTGCGTTTAAACAATAAAATGTGACTGACTGAGACTGAATGTGGCGAATGGATATCCTGTAAATTAGTTGACTGCGATTGTTGCATGAGAAAAATTAAAGAGTTGAAGAAAAAAAAAAAAAAAAAAAAAAAGTAATAAGAAAAAAAAATACAATAAAATAAAATAAAAATAGGAAATTAGCGTCTTATACTTAGATATTGCAACATACAAAGATAGAGGGAGAGAGTGCGATTCACTCACCTTTCTCTGGAAAGGGCGAGATAGAGAGGCTAAGAGAGCGTGAGAGAGAGAGTGACAGACAGAGAGAGAGAGAGAGAAGAGAACGCTCTCTTGGGAGAGCTATAAGTATACGAAAAGCAGCATCATTCCAGAATGTCACAGATCAAAGTGAAAATAGATTGGCTAAGGCATTACCTATACACACTTCCGATAGAGAATACTAGCCAGGTTGCATAACTTTGCGAGAATTATGTTCTGCTTAATATTTTGAAAGATTGTATTGTTTTAATTATATTATATTAATCTGATACAGCATAATTTGGAATATCAATAAAACTTTCATCATGAACCACAATTGTAGTCAGTAGAGAATAAATATCAATTTATACTCATAACACAAATAAAACGCTTTAATATTTTCATTGTACATTAGTTAAAGCTGTGATTGTAAATATGTCCCAAATTAAAAAATAGAGCAAACAAGATGCTCTAAATAAATAAATAAAAAAAAATAAATAATAATATATTCAGTCGAAGTTCAATTTCGCTGTCCTTATTCTATATTATCGTCTTCTAACTTTTTTTTTACTATAACTCATATTTGTTTTTTAATTATGAGTTTTTTATTATAATTTTTAAAATATATGTATAAATATATGTATATATTATTATTATTTATTTATCTCTTTATTTATTTTTTGTTTGCTTCAGTCAATTTTTAGTGTATCTCAATATTATATCTAACCTATATCAATATTGCTCACAAAATGAATAATTAACTCTTCTAGTTTTGTGGTTATTTCAATTACATTCTACAATATTTTACACTAAATATTCATTGAAATTATCTCTCTCAGTCTTCAGTCTGTCACACCTTTAATGAACTGAATTCGCCGCAGCACTTGGCTACCTGTTGTTACCTGGCGAGGGCAGACGTGATGCCTACCCGCTGTTCGGCCGGCACTTCAAAGGCAGCTGCGTATAATTACGGACAAGTTTAGACCACATGGCGGCTGGCGTTTGGTTTCGGCTGGCAATGGCTGCGTTGCATACTCTGCAGCGCCTGCAAATTTAATGGCGCCGCTTTAACGAGTGTTGCCTACTTTGCAGCGTCGCGCACGCATCTCAAGTGGTTGCTGATGGGTTCATGCAACATTCTGGTTGCCTTTGCAAATGTCTTTTTCGCTTCACTTTTGTTGATGCTGTTGTTGTTGTTGTTGCTGTTGTTGAGCAAGCACCCGTCTCTCATTATTCTTGTTGGCCTTATTAGAATACTTGCTTCAACTGCTGCTGCTGCTGCTGCTGCTGTTGACTTAGTCAAGAGCAATTAACATGCAAATAAGGCCTATTAGTTACCTAAACGTCAGTCTGTCAGCTGCTGTGTGTCGCTCTTAGCCAAGTTCGCTCGCCCCTCGTTTCGGACACCTTTTCGTGCACTTATTGGCCTTTTGGCAGGTCGCACCGTGGCGTTTGCTTTTAATGACTTACTAATTTTCAGTTAGCTTTGTGCGCACCAGACTCCTATTTAAAAATTCTGAATTGTCGTTTTAGGGGAAGGCGACCGGTTGTCCGTTGTCCGTCGTCCGTCGACCGTTCATATCATTAAAGTTTACGTTTATGTTGAGCAAGATATTCAAAAAGTTTTTGATTTCCAAAATTACAAGGCCTCCAAACATTTCCAAAACGAAAAAAAAAAAGGGTTTAACCCAGCCAAAGTTTGCCTTTATGAGCTTAATCTATAAAAACAAGCCCCTTTGCTAAGCAGTTAATCGTGGAGTTTTAATCTGGTTATTTCTTGGGGATTTTGAAAGCCAAGAACTTGTTTTGAGAGAGCTTAGAGATGATCTATGAGCAAGTTGGACTGATTTTTACAGCCAAAAAGTTATTTAGCTTAGGAATTTTAATATAAATGTTTTTATAAGAATTGTAGAAAAATATATGTAAATTACTAATTTTTATTAATTTTTTAAAGGAAATATATGGTGGTCTTTAGTCTGATTTACCTTTAAAAAACTGTATTTGGCATTTTACGAATATTAAAAAAATACTTGAAGCTTAGATACCATTGTAAATGCCAAAAAAATATATTTTAAAAGAATACATATAATTTTTATATTTTTATAAAATTTATAAATGAAATGACGAGTGTCTTATAGAGGGGGAAAGATTGAATTTAATATTTATAGCTCCTACCTAAAAACATTTGAAGACAATAAAGTTTCTTATATATTTTCTTAGCTTGCATAATTTTTACAGGGTATTTCTTAGCACATATTCCTTATGTCTAACTTTGCTATTTCTTTTTATGTTTGTTGTTTTTTTTACTTATGCTAAGTTAACTCGTACAGCGCCTTATCTAATCACTGTTTCGCTTTGTTTTTGGCCCATTTATCGAATGCTCTTTTCTCGTGATTGGCGGATGAAATTTTTATGAACTTTGCCTTCTGCAATTAATGTTAATTGATCACTTGAATTTGTGCATTTTCATTAAAACTTTTTCAGCTTGGATCACGAATCAGAAAGTCAGTCAATTACTCCAAAAAAAAAAAAAAAAAACAACGGCAACGACATAGAGGGGGGGGGGAGAGAATGAGAAGAGTTAGCAGAGAAGTATTTACACAGCTTCTGCGGTAATTTATCGTTCTGGCCAAGGCAAAGGCAGCCAGCCTCGGGGCTTTGGTTTCTGGACTCTGGTCAGTGGCATTGGTGCTGGCAATGGCAGCAGGTTTAACACCAGACCAGACCAGGCCGCAAATCGCCATTGAATGTGCAGCACCTGCAGTGTGTGTCCGTGTGTGCACACCTACACTCACACACACACACAGACATAGTAGGTCACATAATGGCGCTGCGGTATGGACAATGAATGCTGAGGGTGATGATCCAACGTGATTTATCTACTGACGCTGAGGTTAAAAGTTTTGCGCATACTCTCATTGTTTAGGTCAGGATTCCCTTTGTATGCACAGCACATACACACGCTCCCACACACACACTCACATACACTCACACACACTCACACACACTCACACTCATACCCACATGCAACCACACGTGCTATAGACACTGCACTGCACTGCGCTCAATGGCTATGCAAATTCTCGACCTGACAGAGCTGTCAGAGTGCGTTGAATAATATGCTCGTCCCAACATTGAACGCTCAACGCAATTATTAAACTTTTGGCATAACTTCAGTTCCAAGCTTAACTTTTGGCTTTAACTATGATTATTTGATTTGCCTTTTATGTGGATCTTCGTCCATTTAGCCAGATATCTGACCTGCACCACAAGATGCTGACAGCCAGCTCATTATTTAGCCACGCCGAGTGTAACTAATTATTGCCAGTTCTCTCTCACTTTTGGCTTTTTTTTCTGCCGCACTTATTGACACAGCTTCATATTGCTCCTCACCCCCGTGATTCCTGGTCTGCCCGTGTCCTTGTGCAATATTTTGCTGACGCTTCGCTCAGATCCATCATTTTGTGCAGCCATCTGCGACACGTGGCCCCTCGGTTTGGCTAATAAATCTTAATCAGACGGCGGCTCAGTCGAGCCGCAGCTATGTGGGCGTGTCCTATTTGCAGACTTTTACTGCCATAAACACTTTTTTTCGTTCGCTTTTTCTCTGGCTTATCACATTACTGGACATTCATTGCCCTGTGCGGACCAAATTACAAGTCTGGCAAGTCTTATCAAGTAAACACATTTGAATTCTGATCAATTTATTATTTAGTTTGCTTAATATATAATTTAGAGGTGCTGCCCTCAATCGAGCCTAGCAATGCCCACTACCGCCACATTTTAGAGCCCGAGGTCATTCATCAGTTTGTCCCACCAGCTTAGAGTGGTTGTAGCGGGTGTCTCTGTAGTCGTCAGGTTCCAGCTAGGGGTAGACGCATTCAAGCCAGGAGTGGTCAAGTTCCAGCTAGGTGTTCCGGGAGTAGTCCAGTTCCAGCTGGGTGGAGTAGGAGTAGTCCAGTTCCAGTTAGGCGTAGTCCAGTTCCAGTTAGGCGTAGTCCAGTTCCAGTTAGGCGTAGTCCAGTTCCAGTTAGGCGTAGTCCAGTTCCAGTTAGGCGTAGTCCAGTTCCAGTTAGGCGTAGTCCAGTTCCAGCTGGGTGGAGTAGGAGTAGTCCAGTTCCAATTGGGCGGGGTAGGAGTAGTCCAGTTCCAGTTAGGGGTAGTCCAGTTCCAGTTGGGTGTAGCAGGAGTAGTCCAGTTCCAGTTAGGGGTAGTCCAGTTCCAGCTGGGAGGAGTAGGAGTAGTCCAGTTCCAGCTGGGAGGAGTAGGAGTAGTCCAGTTCCAGTTAGGGGTAGTCCAGTTCCAGCTGGGTGTAGTAGGAGTAGTCCAGTTCCAAGTAGGCGGGGTAGGAGTTGTCCAGTTCCAATTAGGCGGGGTAGGAGTAGTCAAGTTCCAGTTAGGGGTAGTCCAGTTCCAAGTGGGTGTAGTAGGAGTAGTCCAGTTCCAAGTGGGCGGGGTAGGAGTAGTCCAGTTCCAGTTAGGGGTAGTCCAGTTCCAGCTGGGTGTAGTAGGAGTAGTCCAGTTCCAAGTAGGCGGGGTAGGAGTTGTCCAGTTCCAATTAGGCGGGGTAGGAGTAGTCCAGTTCCAGTTAGGTGTAGTCCAGTTCCAGTTAGGTGTAGTCCAGTTCCAGTTAGGTGTAGTCCAGTTCCAGCTGGGTGGAGTTGGAGTAGTCCAGTTCCAATTAGGCGGGGTAGGAGTAGTCCAGTTCCAGTTAGGGGTAGTCCAGTTCCAGCTGGGTGTAGTCCAGTTCCAGCTGGGTGTAGTAGGAGTAGTCCAGTTCCAAGTAGGCGGGGTAGGAGTTGTCCAGTTCCAATTAGGCGGGGTAGGAGTAGTCCAGTTCCAGTTAGGTGTAGTCCAGTTCCAGTTAGGTGTAGTCCAGTTCCAGTTAGGTGTAGTCCAGTTCCAGCTGGGTGGAGTTGGAGTAGTCCAGTTCCAATTAGGCGGGGTAGGAGTAGTCCAGTTCCAGTTAGGGGTAGTCCAGTTCCAAGTAGGCGGGGTAGGAGTAGTCCAGTTCCAAGAGGGTGCAAAAGCATTTCCAATGCAATATTCAAGGTATCGGAGTGACCTTTCGAGTTTATGCAAAGTTTTGCTGATTTCATATATGACACAGCGTTCCGTCGTCCAGAATTGCTTCAGCATGGGACGCACACCGACAAACAGATTCATGACCTAAATTAAAGAGGCTTTGATTAGTAACCCGCTCGTTTGCTTGTTGTTTCCCTTGCTGTCTCACCGAATCCGTATAGCATTTACGCGTGCTGCAACCGGCCAGCTGCTGCTGGAAGGCAGCCCTCACTCCATCGGAGCTCGGCTGTTGCAAATAGCTTTGCAACTGGGTTTGATCCAAATTGGCGCACTGACGCAGCTTCTTGCCCGCATGCATTAATATCTTCGCATTTCTGACCTGAAAATTGGCCGAACACTGCTCCAAATCATTGAGTATACCAAATTGGGGTAATTGAAGATCTCCAACGATGGCATCGAACAGCTCATTTGATAGGGTCGATTGAATGGATTCAGATGTCTGTAAATTATGAGAGGTTTCGATAAGCGGAATTCTGAGGTTAGGCTTGGATTATACCGAGTTGTATGTTCTATGGAGCCAATGATTCAATGTATGATAAAGTTCCTTATAGGTATATGAATAGCTTATAGCTTTAGAGTAGTATCTACTCTGACTCTGTTTAGTGATCTCTTCCTCGTTTCTCTTTAATCTATTATTTTAGTCGTTTTATTTATAACTCACTTCACAAATTTTTTAACACATCATAAATCACTTCATAGATATGAAATTTAATAAAATTCAAATTAATAATTTTTCAAAAATATTTGACAATTGATAAATTTAGAACACAGATATGATAGAGTGAATCAAAAATAAATTTTTTTAGTCTTGGTATTACTTGCTCTACAAATATGCACCTGGTAAAGGTGCCAATTAACTAATATCCATTCTACATACCGTTGCGCTGAATAACAGTGCAAATAGCACAAAAATTTTGCAGAGAACCTCCATGTTGAGGCCTTCGTTCGTTAATGACTTGGTCACTGGATCTGGCCAAGCATTTTAAATCAAAAACACGATGACAATTTTAAATTTCTATTTTTGCCTTATCGCTATTACCGCTATGAAATCACAGCCGACAAAGTAATATTTGGCAAGGTGTCCGCCAAGTGATAAGGCCACAAAACCCCTGATTGATAATTACATTTATCTAGCCACACATACATATATGTATATACATATGACTAATTAGATAATTGTGAATAATTCCCAGTGCCTAAAGCACTTGACAGTGCCTTTTGACAGCAGCTATAAATTGTTATTGTTTTATAGGAGCCATTGACTTGTGGCTAATTAGATCTTGATATTCGATAACGGCATATTGAGGAGGTCAAGTAATATATGAGAATATAAATATATTGAATATTAAAGCTCTTTATTCAGCGGCAATAAAACTGAAGTTGTTGCCATAAATTCTATAGCTCACATTTAGTTGGCTGGCTGTTCGACGGCCACGGACTGCTGAGCGGACTGCTGAGCGGGCTGCTGCTCGAATGGCTGCTGCGCGAATGGCTGCTCAGGTTTCTGTTCCACTTGTTGCTCTGGCTGCTGCTCCAACTGCTGCTGTAGGTGCTTCTGCTCCAGCTTCTGCTCCTCCTGGTGGGCGGGCAGCTCACGCTGTTGCGATACCTTGACCATGCACATATCGAAATCGTTGGCTGCCTCAATGGACTTCACCTTCAATTCACTCACGGCGGCCCGTATGCAGCTAGAGCGCTGAGTCTCCACCACAGAGGCATTCGATACAAACTGCGATTGGGTCTGATAAGCCAAGGTGTTGCAGCTATCCAGCAGTTCCAGGTTCCTATCCAGCTAAGCAGTTATAAAAGCGATATTAGCTTTAAATATTTATATAAATTGGGGACTGCACCTACTGTCGACACGGTGCAGTTGATGAAGCGCTGGCTGTCTGTCTCATTCAGGCACCTTTGCAGGTTCTTCTGCAGCTCAATCTGCTGGCTGCGTATGGTGTTGACGGTGGCATTGCTGCGCTGGAGATTCTCCACGACGGTGCGTTTGGCCACATCCTCGCACTTGGTGGTTTTGCTGGACAAATCCGAGCCGATCTTGCTGGTCGCATTGGTGTACCGACTGAAGCAGGTCGCCTCACCAGCAGACGCAAGGGCGCGCGGCTGAGCCAGCGGCACGCCCAGCTGCGACATGACCATGCGAAGCAGAGTCGTCTCGTCGGTCATGCGGGGCCAGGCGCTGGCCTGCAATGGAGCCAACAGCAAATTCAATTGTAATTAAATGAAAATCGGTCGCTCCCTGGTCGATTACTTACGCCCAGCACTGTGACGGCGAGCAGTAGAATGCGTGTAAACAATTTCATCTTATTCCAGTTGCTTTCTCGAGTGCTAACTAATTGCTCATCTCAATGTTTCAGTTGCTTTTATAGCTGACTAAATGCTGCAGCAATATCTTCTGGTTTCTGCTCTATGTATCGTTTTTCTGCTATATCTTCTTCTTCTTCTTCCTCTTTTTTGCAACATTCGATTAGATAGGGGAAAATGTACAAGACAATTGGCAGGCTTAATTGGCTTCTGTGCAGTTTTAATACAAGTAGGAACAACCCTTTGCAGTGATATCGTGGCCGAGGTTATTGTGTAAAGCGCCAGCTATGATAAATTGACACACACACACACATACATATATGTACAGTTAGACATACACTAATAATCAGTGTTCATGTCCCATTAGTTGCTGCCTTATCAGACAGCTTCAAAACGGTGTCTTGTTGTCTGCATTTTTTATCGTACCACAAATATGATATAAGAACTTATTTTTAAATTGTAAACCCCGACTGAATCATCGGGGCGCTTGTAAAACCAATTTGTAATCAAATCGAATTCAAGTCATTCACTTAACACCCATGTCTTAATTGATTTGCCGCTTAATTCTCGAGTACCTCATCGATAGAGTCGCATGATTTTCCCATTGCACGTGCACACGTTTATCTGGCAAACGTCATGATGAAAGCCTGTCTGTGCATTTTCTCAGAAGCAATAGGGGAATCGGCCCATGCCATCATCGACTATAAAGCTTTTTAATCAGTTCATGATAATGGAGAGCATTTCTATATAATTCCCTTATCGTTTCCTCCAATTATTTTTTCCTCGGTCAGTTGTTATTCAATTTGAGCAAATTATGAATATAAAACATTTAAGTGCATATTGTGTAATGAACTTGGTTTTTTTTTAAGGTTTAAAGCATTTAAGAGCATATTGTGTACTGAACTTTATTCATTTACTTCTACAAGAAAATAATTGGGCCCTTATCTGAGGGCCTTGACAGATAGCATTTCTATTAATATATTGTATATTGTTGTTATTTATTTATTTTTTATTTTTTAATTAATTGCATTCGTTAATATAAATGTTTATATATATTTTTAATTACTTAGAATTTATTTACTTGTTTTTATTATTATTTTAAATTGCATTTGTAGATATAAATATTTATATATTTGGTTAATTACTTGTTTTTATACTTACTTTCCTTACTTGTTTTTATTTTTTCTCTTTTATATATTAGTCGTTTAGGCCTGGAAAACAAATTAATTAAAAAATATATAATGATATATCGACTTCAAGCAGCCTTTGTCTAGCTTCATTAGAAAGTCAACAAAAAACAATTGCTTCAGCTGCAGGTAAATACATTCAAAATGTCAATGAAAACAATTTTGTTGTGCGATATATATTTGATTGATTGCATGAGAAAATCAGATAAAGCAACACTACTTTCTAGCGTGGCCAAAAGAAAAATATGCAGAGAACCGACAGAATTCGACTGTGGAAGGTTTTGGTAGAGTATTAAACCAAGATCGAAAAAAGTAAAATATAAATTTCTAAAGAGAGGTTCGAATCATTGGTATTAATATTAGAAAAGTTTATTAGCTAATAATCTAATAAATATAACGAAATAAATAATAATAATAATAATAATAATAATAATAATAATAATAATAATAATAATAATAATAATAATAATAATAAAAAAAAGTTAATTAGTTAGTAAAAATAAAAATATATTTTTATATAAAAGTGTAATAATATATATTTATAATACATTATTAAATAAATAAATAAGTTAGGTCTTTGGCATCTTTGCACAAATATTTAATACATATTTATGATGATCACAAATAAAAAATAATTATTTATTAAATACATACAATATACATATTATTTGCTTACGATTTTTTTTTTTCTAAATATTATTTATAAATTCCTAAAATATCTGCTAGTCAACAATTATAAACGAAATTTGTAAAAACATGGAATATTTTCATGTTTATTGAATTTCTCATATTATATATTTATAATCAACACATTAGATTTTTATGCATTTATTATATAGTCTTCAGCTACAACAATTTTTATATATGTGTTGGCAGATTTATTTTTAATATTTTCATATAATTCATTACATTCAAAACTCATACACACAGCATTTGAATTCTAGGAAATCCTTATAGGAGTAAGAGCTCTTAATTGTCAGTGAAATGAAGTCAGCCATTGTTTCACACTCTCCTACATGTTGTTCTTGTTGGTTGTTCGCCAATAAATTTTGGTAGCTCATTAGGGGCGTAATACAGGTAGTCAGGTAAGGCCTGCAGTCAGCTCGCAGTCAATTGGCAAACAATCAGGTGGAAATTCAATTCATTTATCAAAAATGGTTTGAGGTGCGCGCGCTGCCTGGAAATCAGTGCCAAGAATTTCATGTGAGAAAAGCTGGCAAAACAAATTTTGAAAAGTGGCAGAAATTCACAGTTGCCAACAAATTTATCACAACAAGCCAGCAACACGCACACACACACACCTGCATATGTAGATGTGCGCTGTGTCTCATATATCATGCGACAGGGCAAACAAGATTTATAAGGTAAAACATGGTGCGAGCAACTCTAGAGAAATAACGTCAACATCTCGCGGCTTAAAAAGAAAATGTTCCCCTTTTTGTTGTTGTTGTTGTTGTAGCTGTTGTTCTTTTTGCTTATGTTTCGGCGCACAACTCGAACGATTAATCAAAAAAGTATAAAGTGCAGGCGGGCAATGCCTGCAACTTTTTGCTAAGGTGTGTGGAAGCAGTGGGCGTGGCAGCTGCTGCTAATGGCACAAAAGCTGTGGCAAGCCACAACGCAGCCTCTTGAGAGGGTGATAAAGGCAGAGAGACAGATAGAGGGAGGGAGTGAGAGAGGGAGAGGGAGAGAGAGAGAGGGAGAGAGAGAGAGAGAGGGAGAGAGAGAAGGGGACAGTGACAGCGCAGCTCACGTGCTGATCATAGAGTATTCATAGAGCAAAAGAGAGTTTATTAGTTTTTGAATAAAATGTATTAAATATTTAAAATAAATAGAGAAGGAGAGAGAGAGGGAGCGAGAGAGAAAGAGAGATAGAGAGAGTGAGGAAAAGAATGAGAAATAGAGTCAAAGAAAGTGTGAAATATTGAAGGAGACTGTGAGGCAGAAAGTGGCAGTGACACAGGAACGAGGGAGAAAGTGAAGGGGGCTGAGGGTGACCGAGACGGAGGGAGGAGAGATAGATAGAGAGAGAGAGAGAGAGAGGGATGGACGGAGAGATCAAACAACTTTGGAGATCATAAAACAGAAAAAAAAATGCAAATTGAAACTGCGTACAAATTGATATTAAGGAATGAAATATGTGAAAGAGAAAGACAATGGCTGTAGAAAGAGAGAGTCGAAGTGCGATACGAGTTGACAGAGAAATGTTAGACAGGAAGTGCCACAAATGAAGTGAAGAGGAAAGAGAGAGAGAGAGTAGCAACAGTAAAAATATAGAAATATGATGGGAAGAGAGAGAGAGAGAGAGAGAGAGAGAGAGAGAGAGAGAGAGAGAGATAGAGAGCAGAGCAGTCATATTAAAAAAATAAAATTGCAGAACACAGATATGGAAAAAGACATAGCATTCGTTCCTAGACAAACGTTGTCATTATAGAGTATCACACAGTCGTCTTTATGGTCGAATGCAACAGATTTTGCCAAT